TGGTCCTCATGGCCATAAGGGCCACTCCACACACGTCGACTGGCATCGCTCCTTTCGAGATGATGACGGGTCGACAAATGACTCTCCCTCTGCACCTGCTGTACCAACCAGGCGATGCTGCCATGGCAACAGCCTACACCACACAACAATACATGAAAGACTTGGAAAGACACCTTAAGAACACTTTTGCTTTCGCCCAGAAAAACCTGGAAAAATCAGCTGAAGGACGCAAAGCGTACTACGACCAAAAGGCCTCTCACGAAGAACTCCAAGTGGGAGACAGGGTCTGGTACTACACGTTTGCACCCAAAACTGGGAGAGTAGAGTCCGGGACCGGAACTCTCGCCCGTAAGCTGATGCCCAGATGGACTGGACCCCATCTGATAATCGACAAAGTGTCTCCAATTATCTACCAGATAAAAATCAGTAAAGGCCAAAAAGAGCCAACTGTTAAATGGGTACATCGTAACCAGATTAAACAACACAAGGCGTGCAATAACTCCTCAGGAGACAAAGATCTCACAAAATCTGACCTCGTGGGAATAAGGGTTACCCAAGCAGAAGATAACTAATGGATAATAAACTTAACCATAGTTTAAACTCACAGGACCTACCCTTGATAAAACGGGACAGCGTGACTGAAATCTGGCAACCAGGGTGAGGAGAAGCAGTGAAACGATGTTTCTAGATGCTTAGTCACTACTCTTGTCGGTGTTGAAACGTTGTTTAGTTGATTTTGGTTGTTTCTGAGGTAAGAATGAATCTTGTGTGTAGTAAGTTAGAGACTAAGAGGCCTTTAACCATGCCAACATGCAGTTCATTCATTAAATTGCAATCTTTGCGGAGTCAATGTATATTATTGCTACTTTAGGTACCATATTCTACATTGTTCTCACAACGCTTAAGCCGAACCTACTCGAACAATTCTATTCGGGGGGGTAGCTAATTCTTTTTAAGTCTCGCCATAGACTTCCAAAACATTTATGGGGAAACCAAACACCCAATCTCAAGTCGTTCGTCTAAAAGACAACAGACAATTACACCAAACTATATTCTACCATGTAAAGCTAACTTAAACCAAGTTAGAAATGGAAAAATAGTTTGGAACCCTTTTCTATAGGCATAAACCCCTGTAGTTACCCTTTTCAGCATTTTCCACCCCTTAACTGGTAGTTGTAGCTGTTCCCAACCATAATAGCTTACACACCAGATGCATATAGTTTAAGGCCTTATGTAAAATCCCCTTCATAAGCCCACCTTAAACCACATAATTGCATGACACATTGAACCAGAACGGCACAGGCTGGACGTCGCTGGAGACAACCTTCGCTGGAGGCGACCTACAATCCTGACGTTGGTCTCCACTCTTCATCCAGTGGCCGCTTCTTCAGTTCAATCCAAGGGTACCCCTCTGTATGCTGATTAATCAACACTTCCAATCGTTGGGGATTTACCGTTGTGGATTATATGACTTTTTCCAATGGATTACAGACTCTGTTTCCAAGGGGTTAAAGCATTGCTACAATGGAATTATCGAGACGATATGGAATTATAATCAACACAATGGAATTATCAAGAACATTGTGGAATTACCTTGACTTTGTTTCCTTGCTGGATTACTTCTGACTTTGGTCTTCCTTGCTGGATTACTTTTGACTTTGGTCTTCCTTGCTGGATTACATCAAGCTCAAGGACATTTGAAGGTCTAAGTTCACGGTTGGAATTCATCCCCATGGACAGGCGATGATTTCCAAAGGGGGGACTGTAGTGAACCTGATCGGACCTCAAATCTTGATCAGATGGACAGAGACTGTTATTTCATTGATCTGCATCCAGAAATACAGTTTGAGCCATCTGGGGACTTTCTTTCTTGAATTAATCAAGCAGAAAAGACAATTCTCTATGATCATTACTATTTTACAAATGTTTGATAATCAAATTGTGTTAGTTTACTCAATGTTTACAGGTTGAAGAGAACTACTCATTTTTATTTTACATAAACAGTAAGTAATGATTTTTATTCCTCATTCAAAGAAGAAATCAGGTTAATATGCATTTCTTGATTTTTCTGTCTGCAATGAGCAAGTTTTGTAAGTATGTTAAAGGTCGGTTCTCGGTCAACTAAAATGTTTACTGAGAAAAAATGTCATGTTTAACTATTTGAGAAGATACAGCAGAGTGAGAAGTCTGGTTTTCTGCAATAATCTTTCTGTCTGTTGTTGAACAATCTCATTCTCTGACCTCGAATTTGATAACATCTTACATCACAAACCACACCTCTATTCTGGTCATCGACCAATCAAAAAGCTCTCAAATGACCCGGAAGTCGACCCATTTAAAATGTGGCAACTTCCCAGTTCATGGAGTTGCTGGAGTTGCTGGAGTTGCTGCAGTTGCTGCGCTCAGGAATGAGTTCAACTGGAGTGTGCACAGAGTGCTGAAGGTTCTGATGCTGCAGAGCTCTGAGAGTTCCACACAGAGTGAAAGGAGATGAAAGGAGTTCAGAGTTCTTGGATGCAAACGCGTTCAGGATGATCCAGAGACGTTTTGGGATTATAACTTCTGTTTGAACAACCTCGTACGACTCTCGAAGGATTTCAGCTGCTCTCAACGGAGACGCTGAAAGAGTCAAGGAAGGATCCTATACCGAGCTGATTTATCATCAACCAGGTAACGGTTTCTACTTCGACAAGCGTACCGTCGCAAGCTGAGATCTGAAGGAGCGTGCACGTTTCTGGTCAAACAGATTAATCCCCTCACAAATCTCTCTGTAAGATAAATCTCCATTTCCATCTTAAACTCTCCTTTCTCTTAAAATCAGTACAGATATTTTAGAAATATCTGAAGCAAAGTCCTCAATCACCGCCGTGTGACTGATGTCCATTTTCTGTGAAACTTGTCTGTTATTATTTTCATATTTTGCCAAATTAATGTAAATGTTTGATGTTAAACTTTG